TTGGTGCGGAGAGTAGGGTGTTTGGGGTGAGTATGGCGTGTGCGGCGAGTAGGGTCTATGGGGGGGTTGATGTTGCGGGGAAGGTGAGGGGTAGCGCGCGAGGAGGCGTGGGGAGGGGTGTGGGCTCTGTAGAAAAGAAAAATGGGGTCAGCATTGCAATGAGGGAAGAAGACGAGGAAAAGAAGAAAGAAGGAAGGAAGATGTGGAGCGAGGGAAGGAGGGAAGACGAGAGATAGGTAGGATAGCAGGAAGACGGAGGAACGAATAGTAAGTAGAGAAAAAAGTAAAGTCCTCAAGACAAAAAGACGACGACGACGACGACGAAAGAAATAGAAGAGACGCGCACAAGAGCGACGACGACAAGACGCCGCGATCGTATCACTCAGACCGGCGCAGATGGGAGGTATCCAGCGCAGCCAAGGGAAGCGCGCAGCCAAGCGAAGGTATCCGCGCAGACGAGGGACCGCAGAGGGAAGAGACAAGCCGTGGGTGCGCGATGCGACGCGATGGGGAATATTCCCCGGTAGGATAAGTAAGATGGAAAATATTCCCATCTCTATTCCCCGATGGGAATCCCAAACCCCACACCCACAAATAGCACGCAGGCGGGAACGACGATGGATATCCCAGGACCCAGGTCACGATCCACACATCTCGTCAATTCCGAATCTCGCGCGAATGCACCAAAATCTCGTCAATTCCGAACTCGACGCGGACCAATGGCCTCCTCAGCGCGGACCAAAGGTACGATTAAAAAACGCCGGCCCAAGGTATAGGAAAAAGAAGGAAAAAGAAGGAAATGAGGCTGTATGAGGAAAAGAAGCCAAGGAGACTGTATCCCGCACGATGGCTCCGGGTGGCTCCTGCTATTTTCCGCTGCCGCAGATCGTCATTTCTTTCGCTCGCTGGTGCACGCGACTCGTCATTCTTCACGTCAATCAAATCGAACAACTCGACGCCCTACGTGTGGCGTCCAATGGAATGCGGTTCCGTGTGGCGAAAACGACACGAGTGGCACGGGTGCGCAAAAATCGAATACGATTCCGTGTGAACGAAAAACGACAAGGCACGAGTGCGCAAACGCAAAACAACGACACCAGTGCGCAAAAAACGAATTGGGCGAAAAACGACTCAAGTCCAGGAAAAAATAAAACCGGGCCCGGCCAGCCAGCCTCCAAAGACGGGCCCCGCGCCATACACCGTAGACAGTGAGGAGGGCACACGCACACGAGCCCAAGGCCCGCATCGTCAAACGCCTACAAGCACACGAAGGCCCAGCCACGACGCCTAGATGGCAGATGGCTGTACGATGGCAGATGGCAGATAGCTGTACTCTCTGAATCCAGACCCGGCCCGCAGAATTCCCGCGCGACTTCCCCACCAACGCCAGATCCCCGCGCGACCTGCACTCCACCGCCAACTCCAACGCCAGCGCCAGCGCCACATCCGGACCCGCGCGCGAATCGATGGCGCTGCGGAACGATGCGATGCGATAGCACGTCGCACAGCACGATAGCAGCCGTCGCAGGAGCGATAGCACGTCGCACAGCACGGACGATAGCACAGGATATAGCGCATCGCACAGATAGCGCAGAACCCGTCGCACATAGCCAGAGACATGATGAACGGAGTGATAGCAGGTGGCGCTAATCGATCGCCCACGCCCAGGCCCAGCGTCCGCGGGATATCCGAATCCGAACCCGAATCGATACGAAAATCCCCCGAGGGTCGCCCGCTCGCGCGTAGGAAAAAATGCTCGCGCAGGACAAACGGAGGAGTCGCCGTCGTCGTCGTCGCCAAAGAAGGGAAAGAAAGAAAGAAAGAAAGAAAGGAGAGAAAAAAAGAAAAAGAAAAAGAAAGGCGCCCACACGCGCCCACATCCACATCCACATCAGGCGCAAAACCGGGGTCGGGGTCGGGGCAGCACGCGCCGGTGGGCACCGACACGACGCACGACGCCGCGTGTAGCACGACGGGCACCCAACGCCGGCAGCAAGCACAAACGCCGGCAGAGGCCAAGCGCGGGGTAGGTCAAGCGCAGAGGGGACCAAGCGCGCACGGGCGTGGACCAAGCGCCGAGACGGAACACACGCTGAACACGATCCAGCGTACTGCTTGGCGCTCGACGCTACACGCGGACACCGTCCCCGTCCGCGCATAACGCGGACGCCGCAACGCCAACGAACGTCGCCGCGCGCACCTCGCTCGTCCAAGACCAAGACCGCCCGAGCCGGACGGGCGGCACCGGAGGCAGACCGCGCTAGTCGCGCGCGGTACGAGTCCGAGGACGAGACTCGGCGCGCCTCCACCGCACACGCCGTCACGCGCGAGGTGCAGGAAGTACGGGCTTGGCGACGACGGGAGAGGTGCGGGCGCGGGCGCGAGGCGTGCATGCAGGCAGCAAAAGGCGGAGCGCAGGGCGAGAAGAGGACAAAAAAAGAAAAAAGAGAGCAAAAACGAGAGAGGAAAGGAAAAAGAGAAAGAGGAAAGACAAAAGACCGAAAAGGAAAGGGGTGAATGGATGAATGAATGGATGGATGGATGGAGTGAATGGATGAACGAAGGAATGAAGGAGTGAAACAAAAGAAACTGAAACAGATAAGACTCGAACAAAAGAAACTCACCTCGCTCCCCCTCCTCCCCGCGCCCGTGCCCGTCCGGGGCGTAGGCGTCCTCGGGCTCTCGTGCGCGTGCGCATGTGTCCGACCCGCAGGCGTGCGCGGGCGCGGCGTCGCCTCTCTTCTCCCTCTATCTGCATCTGCATCTCCTTCCTCCGCGCGCTGTTGCTGCTGTTCCCTCGCCTCCAACGAGACCCGCGGGCTTGATGACGACGACACCCGCGGACTCGCCGACGACAACGACGAGCGCGGGCTCGCGCCCGCCGCCTCGACCGACGCGCGCGGGCTCGAAAACGACGACGACGTCCTTCTCCCCTCCCTCCCCTCCCTCTCCCCCACCGACCCCCTCCCGTCTGATGAAGCCAACACCCTTGCGAGCCTCGCCCTTAGCGCCTCGTGCTCCGGGTCCCGCTCCCTCTCTCCCCTCATATTTAGAGTGGAGTGCGAGGGCGAGGGCGAGGGCAGGCGGCCCTCGAGCCGCGCCAGGGCGTGCGCGTGCGGGTTTTGGGGGTAGGTATTTGGCGGGGAGCGGCCGGCGAACTCGGAGTCGCCGCCGTAGGCATAGGCGCTCTTCTCGTGCATGCCTCCGGTCCTGTGATCGCCCTGTGGAACGGGCAGGACGTAGGCAGAGCCAGGTAGAGCTGAGAAGCTAGGTCTTGGTGACGACGAGGCGGAGGCGGAGCCGCGGCGGAGGGCGGCGCGGAGGAGCTGTTCCGAGCGCGAGTGGGGCGTTTGGGGGCGGCTCAGGCTTCCTCCTGCTCCTGCGTATTGAGAGGAAGGAGCAGGAGCGGAAGAGGGCGGGGAGGGCGAGGCGGGGAAGACGGGGCGTTGTGGTTGGGGAGCGTGCATCGTCGGGGGCGCCGTAGGTGGCGGCGCTGGACTTGAAGCCGCCGACGTGGCTGTACTTGAGGTTGAGGATGTCGACATAGAGGTGGTAGTGGGCGGCGGCGTAGACGGGAAGAGGCCGCCGAGCGCGGCGAGGAGGGCGGGCAGCGGGGGGAGCGAGGCGCGTTTGCGGGCGCTGCTTGTATTCGGGGTGGAGGTATCCAGCTTAGCGATAGGTGTAACGGGTGTATGCGGTGTATTCAGCGTCGTGTGCGCTGTGGTGCTACAGCTCGAGGGCGTCGCGCGCGTACTTGCGCTGCTTCCACTGGTACTACTGGCCTCGTCGAGGTCGGAGAGACTGTCGCGAGAGGGTATCGGCGAGAGCAGACCGAGGCTTTGGGTGTGGCGGTGGCCTCTGCCTTTGCGCTTTGCAGGGGCTGCTATAGCGGGGTCAGTAAGAAAAGTAATAACGAGAATAACGAGAAGGGCGTGGAAATAACGAGAAGGGCGAATAGAAAGGGCAGAAGCGGGGAAGGCAGAAGGACGACTCACGGGACCGGTGCATCGAAGCGAGGATATACTACTAGCGGGGTGTGTGCGTTCCTTTCGCGTGGGGCACACGAGGTGGACTAGACTCGTATGTATGCGTTGTTCAACGCGGGATTCACGGTGCGTGGAGCACTCGTACTCGCAGCAGTGGGTGAGATGAAAATGGGGTGTGGAGGGGTGAGACTTTTTGGTCGTTGGGGCGGTGCTGGCTGTTTTGCCTGCTTACATTAAATTTAAATTTGGTTTTCTCGACGCGGGGATATTATTAATTTGCCCGCGTACGTAGCGTGACCGTCACACCGCGACCATCAGACTCCCACACGCGGTCAAGGGCGGTTACCCCTTTTGTGTTTCTTGTTGCTGTACGACGATGACGACGACGTCCTTGTTGTACTGCACTCGATTTTCTTTCGAGTTTTTCGTCGTGTCGTTTCGCACTCAGGTGCACAACTGAGGAAGCAGGAACAGGCTTAATTACGTGGCGGTGCCGGGCATCAAACCCCTTCCCCTTCTTGCCAAATTCCAAATTTGACGAACCAGGTCCGTGCATTCGGTGAGATCATCCGTGCGTCATGGCTATTTTCCTCTCGTCTTCGTCGTGGTTTGCCGACGAACGACAGACGGCTCTGTTCTCGAGCACGAGGATACAAGGTTCAACATTGAGTACAGATCTAAGTACGACACCGGCCTCGAGATCCCCGACTCGATCCGCGCCATATCCGCCACTCGCAGCCATTCCCTCTTCTGTTCCCTCGACAGTGGGGTCCATGAAGGCACACGCACGAACGACCATGAAGGCACGGAGAACCCGGCCCATACACTCCCTTATTAACTCAACCCATATTTAATGAGCTGCGTTAATATTAATATTAATATTCGAGTCCGAGATCCCCGCGATCAGGCCTGGACCGGCTCCACGAGGTATGCGGGAACGGAACAGCAAAATAAGATGCACAGTATATATACCAGAATGTGGGTATATATACAACGGTGGCAGGTGCCTATCAAGGCCTGGTGGTGGAACGGTTAACACGCCTGCTATTCGTATTGAAATGATAAAATAAGTTTCAGCAGGAGACTCCTTGTTCGAATCAAGGCCAAGCCGTTTCTTTTTCACTTTGACAAGTTATCTCTGACAGCTAAGTTGAAAACGATAGACGTTTTTAATTTTACACGAGAGTTCGGACCGAGCACAACTCTCGTGTAAAATTGAAAACGTCTATCGTTTTCAACTTAGCTGGAAAAGACGTGGTTTTATCCAAACTGGTGGGAATGTAAGGACGGCCTGGTGGTGGAATGGTTGACACGTCTGCTACTTGTGTTGAAATGGAAAAAAAGGGTTTCGGCAGAAGATTCCTTGTTCGAATCAAGGCCAGGCCGTATTTTTTTTTTCACTTCGACAAGCTTGCTCTCACTTCAGCTTGAGGTGTGGTTTTATCCAAACTGGTACAAGTGTGAGGAAGGCCTGGTGGTGTAATGGTTAACACGCCTGCTCTACTTATATTAGTGCATGAGAAGGATATTTACAGCAGGAGGCCCCTTGTTCGAATCAAGGCCAGGTGGTATTTTTTCACACACTTCTCTTTAACGAGTTGAAAGAAAGAGGTTTTATTCAAGTTTGTGGAAGTGTAGGGGTGGTCTGGTGGTGTAATAGTTAACACGTCTGCTTTGAATATCAGAAATTCATTGACTTCCAGCAGGAGATTCCTTGTTCGAATCAAGGCCAGGCCATATTTTTTCACCCACTTTTCTTCGAAGAAGGGGTTTTATCCAAACTTGTGCAGACGTCAGGAAGGTCTGGTGGTGTAATGGTTAGCACGCCTGCTTGCATTGCATTTGGGCCAGCGTCAAGTATTTACACCAGGAGTTCCCTTGTTCGAATCAAGGCCAGGCCGTATTTTTTTCACATACTTCTTCTCTTTAACGAGTTGAAGAAGGGGTTTTATTCAAGTTGGTGGGAGTGTAGGGATGGTCTGGTAGTGGAATGGTTAACACGTCTGCCACATCTATGTTGAAGTGATAGAACAAATTTACAGCAGGAGATCCCTTGTTCGAATCAAGGCTAGGCCGTATTTTTTTCATACTTCTCTTTAACGAGTTGAAAGGGATTTATTCAAGGTGGTGGAAATACAGGAACGGCCTGGTGGTGTAAGGGTTAACACGCCTGCTTGAAGTAGCACGACTATGAGAGGGTGATTTACAGCAGAAGATGTCTTGTTCGAATCAAGGTCAGGCCGTCTTTTTTCACTGCCTTCCTATTTTGCACGGTGTTTATAATATTTCAGGCCGGACTTCAACCGCACTCGAGCTTCACCGTGTTTTGACAATTTGGGTTTGGGACTCAGAACAAATTAATTCTTACTAGTAATTTCTACGCCGGAAATTGATGGCTTCAAGCTGCAAGGGTGGGACCACAGAAATTCAGATGGTGGCATAGCTAGATTTGTAGGGATGTAAGGAAGGCCTGGTGGTGTAATGGTTAACACGCCTGCTTAATCTGTGAAAATCGGCTGCGATATTTACAGCAGAGGATCCTTGTTCGAATCAAGGTCAGGTCGTTTCTTTTTCACCTCATTACATTCTGCTCGCAACAGGGGGTGTTATTCATGCTTGCGCAAATACAAGGATGACCTGGTGGTGTAACGGTTAACACATCTGCTCTTTGTCTTGAAGTAAAAACACATTTACAACTTTGTTCGAAACAAGGTCGGGCCGTTCCTTTTTCTGTATCCTTACTACGACATAAGCTGACATTTTTCCGCCAACACACCCCACCTGTCCAGCCTGGAAAAATATCTAGCATAATGATCGATGAATCCTTCCTTATTTCCGTCCTTTTGCACAGAGAGTTGAATTTGGTTAAAATTGAAATTGAAATTGAAGAGGGCACGTGCCAACTCGGGAAACGGCCGAACGATCTCTCTTCACTATCCACCAATGCCAACCCAACTCCCCGCAACTCTGGTGGACGTTGACACTATCGCAGCCTGCTGCATTCCGGAAGATCTCTCTTTGACATACATATGTCCGGTACCATCTTTGCATGCATGAATTCAGAATTGGGCCATACTGGCGACTCGCGTGTCGAGGTGTGCACTGGCCTTCTTACAGGCCCTGCGAGATTCCAATGACATGCATGAATGAATTCGAACAGCATGAGGAACTGGAAGGTGAGCCGCAGTACCGCTCTCGCAGAGTTTGCCGCTTCTTGTTGCGCTCAGTATGAGCTCATCAAGTGTTCCCAACATCCTCTCACCATATCACAGCACAAGTTGCATTAAGTTGGGGTCATCCTAGCTGGTTTAGGGTCGCGAACTTCGCTATGATTTATGCCAGTCGTGCGTCTATCCATTTATCGGTATACTATTTACAGTGACGGTGCTCACGATCAACCAGTCCCGATACCCATTCCGCACGCGAAGGCAAACATCGGATTCAACGCTCTTCCTGTGCTGGGCCACTTGTCCCTGTACGGAGAAGATTCTAGCTGCCCTCGACTCAGATTCGGACTCTGCCTCGGACGTCAGTCTGCCTGCCCGCCCACTGTAAGAGTTGACTCTTGCATGGCCTCGCCGCTGTCGTCCTGCAGGATCCAGGGCTTCTTCAATATGAGGTTCAAGAACCAGAAATCATACGCCCAGTTTATCTCGCGCGTCTTGCCAGTAAACCCGGAGATCAAGCAGACGCACCCTACCCGTGTTGAATTCAATAAAAAAAAAATTCAACGCTAGCCACGGCCTTTCATACATCAGTTTTGGTTTCGCTGATCTGAAGCGTTATCAGCCAGTCGTATCATCCGACGGCTTCAACCTGAAGGTCTTGCTTCAAATCAAATCACGAACACTGGAAACGTTGTAGTCACTTTCGTTTCTGGTACCACTGGCAAACAACCTTCGACCCCGCTCCCAGATGCATGGCTTGCAGCGACCCAGATTTTCAACACAAGAATATTAATTGAGCTTACGAACGCCGGCTTTCTAAGCTATTCGACTCCAACCGACCCCTGATTCAACCTTCTGAATCCGCTCGAGGTGCACGCCTTACAGCACGATTCCACGGCCAGAACATTGAACTCGCGAACGGATCCCCTTTGGCTACTATTCCCACCGTCTCTTTAACTTGAACTCAACTCCACCCACTGTCAACTCGACTTCCCCGTTTCAACCTTTCGACGCAACTCCACCCACCCTACCGCGCACAATCTGCTATACGCTTCCAGTTAGTCCAAACCGACATCTTAGCTAAGTGGATAGCTTACGCCGTTAACCGAATTTCTCTCTCTCTAACTTTGTTCGTGACTTCGCAACTCCAACTTCGTACCGACAGCCTTCAAAGCTTACAACTGACGGCCTGCATGACTTCCACCGAGTGCCTACAAGACTCCTTGACGGCTCCACCAAGACTCCACCATCGCTTTGATTCTTTCGCACTGACTTCACGAACTGGAACTGGAACTTCGCGAAGTGGAGACTGCTCCCGGCAACTAAAGTGTCTGTACTGATCTTCGCGAAGACGTTTGAATTCAATGCGCGTAATTTGGGTTCAATATGCGTTGCGGCAATTCGTGCGCTGCGCGATTTTCGCGCCGCCATCTCCACTCTTCGTTCTCAGCCGCACCTCCACCGCTTCACTCCCAGAAAGAAGATAATGTCCATCTCACACGTCATCTCGCGGAGGCTTTGCTCGGCTTCATCCGTCTTCGCCGCTCGGCTCTTCTCCCAGTCTCTGTTCGGACCGTTACCCCGCCGAAGCATCGTTTTTGAGCCGATAGCCTGCATTTTAAAATGCGCTCTTTATCATCAATTGTGTGATATCTTCCAACTTATTTAAAAGCAATCACGGCCTGTGGTGTAAGGCTTAACACGCCCGCTTCCATTAGGAAAGCTTTGAAGTTTACAGCAGGAGATCCGTGTTTGAATCAAGCAACAGTCGGGCCATTCCTTTTTCACACTCCCTTGCCCTTCCTATTTTTATGCCTCGGACTGTGTTAAACGACGGTGGGTAATCCAAGCCTGACTTCAACTGCACTTGAACTTCACCGGACCGGAGAACCGTTGATAATTTGCGACTGGAATTCAAGGCGAACCCTTACATGTATGTATGTAGCTCATGACTTGAGCGGGATGGCCCACATTCTTTCCATGGCCAGACGGTGTCATAGCCAAGCTTTTGCGAGGACAGCTTGGTGGTGTAACGGTTAACATGCCTGCTTCAAGAAGAGTAGTCGAGATGGTTTGTTAGGAGATTTCTTGTTCGAATCAACTTGAAGGCCAAGCCATCTCTTTTTATATATCACTACCTGCGTCATTTTCCCATTTACCCATGCATCTAGCATCAGGAGCAACAATCCCTGCTCAAATCCGTTGTCCTGTCCGCCAGCGCATTGGAGTAGTGCTGCAGAGTTGAAATCAAATTTAACTGGAGTTTTCAGTTGAATTTCAAACGATGGAGTCACTTTGGCACGTGTGGCTCGGAAACGGCCGGTGTCTCTCTTCTTTCGCTATCACCAATGCTACTCAACTCCCTGCGATTCTAGTAGAAGTTGACACTACCGCGACCTGCCGCATTCTTGAAGACCTCTCTTCGACCATCTTTGCATGAAATCGGGCATACTGGGGACTCGTGTGTCAAAGTGCGCACTGGCCTTAAGCTTCTCGCAGACTCGTCCTGCGGGATTCAAATGGCATGAACGGATTCAAACGGCATGAAGAACTGGAAGGTGAGCCGCAGTGCTGCTCTGTTGTTTGAGTATGTAGGCTGCGCTCAGGAAGAATTAACGAACTGTCCTCAGTCCTCTAACCGTATCGCACAAATTACACTCAAGTTGTCGCAGTGCTCAGGTTGAGGCTAAAATCGTCGCTCGGATCCGCATGGTCTATAACAGCCGCGCATCCATCTACCAATGTAGTGACGCCATTTACGATGATGTACATGTATCACCGTGGTCATGATCCTATTTCCATTCCCCTCGACGGGCTTTTTTTTTCGCTGCGGGAATCGGCACGCTTCCCGGGCCGGACTCTCGCAATCGGAATGGCTCTTCCCTGCGCAGAGAAGATTCCCGACTCTGTGCTCGTAGTGGTTTGTTACGAATCTCAGAATGCCAGTGGATGCCCATCTTTATCTGTTTCGACGCAGCCGACCTGAGACTGATGCCTCGCGCCGCCCTCACCTACTTATGTTTGCGCGCTCCTGTGGTGTTTAAATAGGCTCGTAAGGGAGCACTTTGACGGCCTTTCCCCAAATTGACTGGTCCCATATCCTATGCACCACTCGAATACCCCAAAGCCAAAGCTCCGGGACCCTTGATCACCGTCTTGTCTTGCGGACCCGCGAAGCGTACATACTGTCCATATGTCCGATTGCATTTTCGGTTATCGATGTCGATCTTGACTTTCAGTTGCATGCATGGATTGACTCCCTCACCTCAAATCGACATAAGTACATCGCTGCCCCAACTTCCACGCGAGATCCGAGTTCCACCATGAGCGGCTCTTGGGTCCCTCGTAAACGCGCAGAACCCAGACCTCCTTCGCTGCCGGGTATTAGCTCCACCTCCGCATACCCACGCGCTCCCCCGGAATGTACGGTGACGCACTGCGGCGAATCAAGCAGATATAAACGCGTGCAAATTGCCATAGGCTATCTTTTCGCATGCCCTGGCTTTGCGAATCGAGGGTTGCATGTTTACGCCAGCGATTCCCACGCTGCGCGACTTTCGCGGGCCCAGCTTATCTTCGGCCTCACCAAAGTAGTTCCTCAAATAAATGAACGCTTCTCAAATATTCCCAACTCCCCTTCACGCTCCGGGAAGCAATTACCCCGTCCTCCGTGAATATCCAACCGTGCACATCCCTCAATCTCAAAGCTCGTCGCTTTCCACAAACCTTTCTTGTATATTTTTCACAGACGTTTTTCAGGTTACTTGGGGCTGCGGCCACATAAAGCGTGGGAATGGGACTTCGCTCGACTGAGACTTGAACACGGAGAAGGTGCCAAACTATACATGTTGGACTTCCATCCCATGATCATGGTCGTGTTGTTGGTGCGATTCGTGCTTGACGAAGGGTATTGGAAGTATCCACCTGAGATCACAGAAATGAAACCTCGTCAATCAAGGGAGAGAAAAACCGGATATCTGCAATCAGAGTACTGTTTCGGCTTCACAGCAAAGAACCTCCGCCACGGTATCTCAGGATGGATTACCGCTCAGACTATGACTTTCCCGGCAATCCGCAATTTTTTTCTATCACAGGGTGACATTCAGTTAGTCTCATTCCATGATGAATGACATTGATCGAATATTGATCCATCACGGTGACATCGCATTTTCAGTCTTGACACACGTGATCGTGTTTCCTTTGTCAGTGGCACGCCCGCTCTTTTGCTCTCCCTCTCACTCGCTCTTAGAGGCTCCCTGTGCGCAACGGACCTCATTTCGCCGTGAAACCTGTGCCAAATGCGGTATTTCATCGGTTGAGTCAGACGGTGACTCTTCTTGCGCTGAGCGATCCAGCCTCCGATCCTTGGCCGAACTGCATCTCTAGTATTGTGGGCACCTGGCAACATGGGAAGTCCGTGCCTCAGGGTTTTGACTGGTTGGCTCGATATTAATAGCCCCTGCTCCGGTTGCTTCCAGATACGACGTCTTGGCCATTGTCACATGAATCGACTATACTATGCTCCTCAAATGCTCCTCGGGACCGCCGGTAGTGACACTCGAACTTCATTGTGAACGACACGGTCATATCAGGCTCTATCGGCAGATCAAAATTCTTCTTCATGGTTTGTAGTGCATCGTGTGTTTGTCGTTTTTCCCAGTTTGTTAGTAAGGCTGGATGAGCGCACGAATTTTTTTTTATCGGTCCATTTCGCAGATAAGCGTGGGCACGTCGATAGCCGGTACGTAAACTTGCATCCTATGTACTAGCTGGCGAAAAATAGGTTTTGCTGCGATTGCATTTACGGCTGCTGGGCATGACATCCTTGTTTTAGAAAAGGAATCGCAACTCGGTATGTATTTTCTCTCGAGCTGTTAATGGCCGTTTCCAAACAATTCGCTAGATACCAAGGGAAAGGATCCCGAACTCCTGCGTGATGCCCGAGGGAACTTCCTGCAGATGCGGGTGAGTGCCTTCAGACTCTTTTTTTCGGTCAAGAGGCTGAATGCAATTCCCATGCTAGCACAAGGATCTTCTGCGCATTCTCTACGATACCGTCATGCGCGAGCCTTCCCCGACTTTCTCTGTCTTAAAATATTCTCTCGCCTTTGCCCACAATTCTGCCTTTCGCACAACTTGTACCTAAGGCCTAAGGTTCAATCAACTCAAATACAGGTGTCCGGCATCGATTCCCAACACAGGCTGGAGACCCGATTCACGCGCCATGTCCGTCACTCGCAGCCACTCCTCGGGCCTTTGCCTTCCTGTCTTCAGCTTGATGAATCACCACAATGCAGGGCACATTCGCGGAAGGCATGATGCGGGGAGGAGAGCCGGGTCCAACTCAGCTCCAATTCAAACTCAATACTGATGGTGAGTCCCCCCACTCTTCGTATTGCCATTGCTACTCATTAATGGGACTGCTTTAAGGATGGTGGGAGTTGGTGAGTGGAAAGTTCCACTCCGACTCTTTCTAGTATAGTCCTGCAGCGTTGATCTTACTCGGACTGCAGCAGTCAGCGCTGTGATTCAGCTTCTCCTTTGAGCAGTTGACTTCCAACGAGAACTTCGATCCTTTTGTCCGGATGCGCGACACGTATCTTCTGACTAAATAAGTTGCGTACTCTCTTCGATCGCAAATGTCATTTCTCCCGAATATCGCCAGGAATATTTTCGCGTCGCGTGCGGGTCGTTCTGTACAGTACCCATTCCTTTAAGACTAGCGTGCAGCGTCGCAAGTTGGCTCGTTCGCCCCAAGCTGGATTTGTGGCTGCATATTAACTGACTCAACCTGCCGTATGGCCGTTCTCCTCCGAACTCTTATTAAGAGTTGTAATTGAAAGGTGGGCGCGTATCAGCAAGTGGCCATTCCGGCGACTCCTCAACACCGAGAGGGTCGCGGCCCATTTGTAAGTATTTTGTGAACGAGAGGGATTAGAAGGTCGAATGGTTCTCCATACATGTTATTTGGACCGCCCGTGTTGGGCCGTGCGTGCCTAGGTGCTTACAATGCCCGAGGCAAGTATGTGACGCCGATCTTACCCGTGGAACATGGATCAGGCCGGCATACAATCGAATTGAATGCCTGGGCGCTTACACTTACTGGTCTGTAGCGCTGATCTTGCCCGTTGAACGTGGATCAGGATGGGTGGGATTCGTATAAAGTCTGAGGAGTTGAGCAGTGGAAAGCAAGTCACTTCCCCAAGTCCTGACTCCGCATTCTCAACTCAGAATGAAGTTCACCACTGCCTTGTTCGCGCTCATCCCCCTCGTCTACGCCCTCCCGGCACCTGAAGGCGACCTAGTAATGACCACCGTCAGCGTCTTATATCCCTTTACCCAACTCATATCTTCCGCAGGGCGCACTTTCCGCTCGCACCCAAGGCAACGTGTATGTCCTCTCCAAAACCCCCTGCATTGGACGCTCACGTCCACTCCCCCAGCTTCGTCTGTGTCGACGCTGGCTTTACCGGCGACTGCACCACACTCCACGGTTCCAGTGGCGAATGTGTCAACGTCCCCCTCGTGTTTAATGACAACATCTCGAGCGTCGGACCCGATTCTGGGCAGGACTGCTTCTTTTTCATGCAAGTATTCCCCCGAGCACTCGAGTTCCCCTGCGGTGTCTAATGCTGGGAGCACAGCGACGCAAACTGCGGTGGCAGTAGCCTCGGACCTATCAGAGACCCCGGTATTCCGGATCTCAACATCGATGCAGATGTTGCGTTCAACGACGCCATCTCGTCGTTCTCGTAAGTGATCCACATGAATTACACTGGCTATGGGGCATGACGGAATTATTTCAGGTGTTTCTTTGGGTAAATGAAGTCCATGCCGCTGCAGGAGTACGGATAACAGTTCCATATCGCAGAGCATGAACGTAGCTTCTGGATCCGTGTACTTGTAGCAGTATTGTCTGTTATGTTCTGAGATTGCATTGTATAATGCTCATCGGCTCATAAAATAATATATCAACCACTATTGGCTGATTTCTCGCCTTGACCGGCTCGAATAAGACCTAGAGGGCTGACCAGCTTGAGAGGGATGATGGTTGAACAATGTTAAAGCACTTTCTATATTTCTAATGGAAGAATAAGACGGCGTCATAACCAAGCCGGTGGAAATGCAAGGAAGACCTGGTGGTGGAAGGGTTAACACACCTGCTTCACTAGAGAGCAAACGCTTTGGCGTTGTGTAACAGTTCTTTTTACAAGAAGGGGCTTCATCCAGGCTTGTGGAAATGCAAGGACAGCTTGGTGGTGTAACGGTTAGCACGTCCGCTTAAAATTGCCATTTCAGCAAACTCCAGCAGGACATTCCTTGTTCGAATCAAGGTCAGGCATCCTGACTATCAGTGACATACGTCGACATTTTTCCGCCTCAATTTGAGCCCCAACAATATCTTTGGGCGGGTGGCCAATTAGCCCGTCCTTGCCTTTATTGGCATGCCGCCGAAAAATAAATTCACCCACGAATCAGAACCTCATGTAAATTCAGCCAAAAATGATCAACACATTCCTAATATGCGTGCCTTCGTATTAGATGCCGCCCAGACCGGCCGTGCTGCATCCATGCTCTGGGCTAAATCACAACCGGAAGCCTGGAATGGAACCTGCGCCATGTGCAACGTTCAATAGGTCCCGAATATGTTGACCATGCGGTTTTCCAGGCAACAGACTCTCATGGCAGGGATTCCAAACGAGGATTTCATGAGAGGATGGCCCGAGAACTCATCTTCAAGTCCGATGGATCAATATTGGCGAACTCAAGTTCAACTTCAGGTTGAACACTTGAGCACGTGCACCTTCGGCTACTTTCGGTCACCGCCACAGGGAGAACTCCTACGCTTTGCCTACGATTTAACCAAACGTCCTACTCCACATTCCCTTCTCTCTTATAAATCAAAACTGCCAAAAACCATGTACGTCTCCCGATCTGGATTCGAGTCCCTTAGGTTGATTGAATTTTCTCTTTGCGTTCTTCTCGAGGCTTAAATCCGGGCAGGCCCGGGCGTCTGGTCATTGATAAGGATTCCTATCCAGACATCGAAATGGTAGCGCGAAACGTCTCTGATATTCTCCCGGACCCGGCGGACCACTCGCGGTTGAGCCCGGTGCTCTTGTTGCAGGTTAGTCGCGTAACCGATAAAATCCCGAACTTGCCTCATTTTTTTTCTAGACTGCACAGGACCTGCGCGCGCAGGCATCAAATGGCTCGGATGATATGGATACGGAATTTCCGACATTTAACCTACGAGAAAGCTCCCGCTGGACCAGTTGAAATCTCATTCGACCAAAAACTGTGCTACTCGTCCATGATTTCCCATGTTTAACCAGGCCTGGTTGATCGTATGCCACTTCCACCGGATATCAAGAATACCGGGCCCATGTACACCTTCCTCGAAGATGTGTTGAACAAGGCCGTGTATTGTTTGATCTGACACGGCCAGACGGGCTAACATGTACGTACTCTCCCTCGTGAACCTGCTATGGGTTTTGCTCACTCGTTGATAGTCCTGGTGTTTGTTGGCCAGCATGAATCTAGTTGATCGCTGCCTAGAAATCTCGAACTGAAGGTTTTTGTCGAGGGATTGAATACCGCGCAGCCGATTTCAGATTGGGTTTTTAAAGTTATCGATATACTGGAAGAGGTCAACGACTCGGCTGCAGTTGCCAATTTAAAAATTGGTGTGTATTTTTTTTTTTTTTTTCACTTTTACTCTGCCCAATCGATTCGGAAAAAAATATATAACCAGTGCCGACATCTTATGTTCGGTACCATCAAGCGACCAACCTGCCTTCCATTTGGGTTGCATTGGGAGATAGGGTTATGATGCGTCCGCTTTTTTTTTCCACTTGAAATAGCGGGGCGAGGCAGGATACTTCAACCAATTGTAAACCGAAACCAAGTTCATTCACAACCCAGGCAACTCCACAACGAGTTATTATTCAATATCTTCATCAGCCACCGTGCAGGGTCCGTATCCGCATCCTCCGATTCACGATTAAGATTACTTGCGGTCGGGCCCGCAGCAGACTTGACGCCTACAGAAAAAGAAAAAAAAAACATTCAAAATCAGATCCGCGCTCTCTCTCTCTCGAGTGCAATGATGAATGCGGAGTAAGTCAAACGTTGAACGCACCCTTCGAGCACACCGGCAGGGAGGGACCGGCGGTCAGGGCAGTTGATGCAGATGGTCGGGACCGGGGCCGGGGCGGGCCCGGGGGTCGCTCTACAAATGCACGCGATTCGGGTCAGCATTAAGGCAACTATAGGTATATATATTAGGGCGCAGACGGGACGACGTACGCGACCTCGGAGACGGCCATGAATGCGACGGCGGCGGTGAGGAGGACGAGTTTAAGGTTACTTAGCATTGTTGTCGATGTGATGTGGGTGGGATGTGGGTAGGAGGAGGAAGGAGGGGGGCAGGGTTGCTTGACGACCTTTTTATATGAAGGAATGAATGTGTAGCGCGCCGGGGCGGTGTCAGGGAGTAGTGTGATTGCGGATCTGAGATTGTGGATCCCGTCGGACGGGAGCTTTTTAGTTTCACCACACGAGCTCCACGGCCAAGTCTGCCAAAGTAGGCATACGGGTCTACAAGAACGTAGCCAGTAGACTTGTCGTGCACATACATATTTTACTGTTGACTGGGAAGACGAGATGAGTTACAGAGTCAACAATTTAAAACAACAAACCTCCCGCCGTCCATCAGCGATGGCCGCATATTCATAACGACGCGTGTAGATCTGCGCGGGAGTCGTCTGGGACGTGCCTGAAATTAAGATCCAACAGAAACCAGCAGGATAAGACTTGAGACTCAGGATAAGTTAGAAACCTCACAGGAAGCTGCGAAAGCAAAGATAAAAGCGCACAAGCAGCAGAGAGATGGTTCATAATATTAATTGGCATGTTAAATACGACAAAAGGCTGTCTGTGTATGCCTTGCCATGCATGGAATGGAATGTGCGAGGAAGGTAAACGCAGCCCAAACGATGCAGCGCGCGCAGGCTGCACATCGAGCGAGCGGCCCGGGGCGACCGGGAGCGCACGTGTGTGCGGGTACAAAGGGATGGGCCAGAGAAGACCGGGCTATGAAGCGCGGAGGACTGGAAGTAAGAGCGCGCAGAACGACAACCAGCGGCGCCGTACACGAGCTCGCCTCCACGCCAAATATCGAGGAGCACACCGTTTCAGACATTGCCAGATGCAGGGCGCGAGGGGGACAATAGACACGAGCACGAATTAAGGAAGCCGCAAGACACGATAAACGAGACGAGCCAGGCGGGGCTCGAGTCCAGTGTCGCTCAACAGAAGCGCGAGGACAGCGCGAGGGGGACAAGGAGCGGGAGGAGCCCAAGAACGGCAGGCCGAGCACCTCGCTCGAGAACGCGAGGAGTTCCAAGGTCACCCGACCCGAACGGGCGTCACCAAAGGCAGACCATGCCAGGAAGAGTGCCGGCCAACCCGTCAGCGCATGACGACTCCCGTCCCCGTCCCCGTTCCCGTCCGCGCAGAGGGAGTCCAGACGATGTGCGCAGGCTCGAAGCGACACCAAGCACGGACTCGACTCGGCGCAGCGCGAACGGGCCCGCAAGGAACGCATGCATCGTTGCCGAGGCTCGAGAAGAGCTCAGGCTCGAGCGAGGCAAGGCGCGGGCGCAAGGCACGCGTCGCCTATCACCAGCGAGGGCTCGTGCGTAGACACGTCGCCCATGGGCTCGAGGAGCCGACAAGAGAACACGAAAGAGGAAAAAGGCAGAACAAGAACGAGAATGAAAGAGAGAACGCCGAAAGAGAATGGAAGCGAGAACGAGGGAGAGAATGCCGAAAAGAGAACGAGAAACGCAGACCAGAAAAGAAAAGAAAAAGAAATGAAGGTGAGAGGCCCGGGGAGAGAACGAGAGGGAGTTGAAGGAGTAGGGTAGAAGAATGGAATGAATGAAGGAAGGAGTGGGACGAATGAAATAACCTATTCCCCTTTCCTCCCCATCATCCTCCTCCCCGTCCCCGTCCCGTACTCGGCGTAGGCGTCCTCGGACTCTCGTGCTGTGTCCTTGGGCTCTCATTCGTCTAGCGCGCAGGCGTCCGCGGCCTGCCTCCTCTCTCCTTCTCCATCATCTCCTTCCTCACCTGCTTGTTGTTCCCGTTCCCCCCCTCTGCGCGGCGCCTCGACGGACACACGCGGACCGACCACCTCATCTCTCTCGGACTTAACGACGACGACAGCGACGAGCGGACTCGCCGTCTCGACTGACCTGCGCGGGCTGGAAAACGACGTCCTCCTCCCCCGCCCCCACTCCCAGCCAACACCCTAGCCAGCCTCGCCCTCAGCGCCTTGTGCTCTGGGTTCCGCTCCTGCCTCCCATTTAACGGGGACACTGCGTACGAAGAGGATGCGGGTGGGAGAGAAAGAGGAGCTGGAAGTGGAGAACTCTGCGTCGCCGCCGTACGCACTCTTCTCCGCATGGGTGCTCTGCGGAAGCGGGTGCGCATATGCAGCGGGACTGGACGGCGTCATATGGGCCGTGGTACTAAAGCTCGCGCTGCTTCCACTGGTCCTGACGCCATGGCTACTTGGTAGCTCATCCTGAGTAGTTTTCGGTAAGGACATGTCAGATACATGGAGAATACAAACTGTGGACATACCCCGTGCCTCTGGCTGCGTATGCGGATACCAACCAGGATCACCTTGGTGTGTATGTCGACTCTTGACGTCTCAATTCGCGAGATCCGTTTGGCAGCAGCTTCCACTCTCAAGTGCGGAATCCTGTATGTATCTGCACGACGAGTGTGGCGCGAAAAACTGCGGTTTCGTACGGCCAGCGATTGCCCATGCAATGTAAATAGTAGTACCATCGAGACAGAGAAAGAATGTGAATAGTGCCTTCAAATGGTAGTGAAAGTCAAGAAGAAAGACCGCATCATTGTCACACGTCTCACTCTCTGTATATGCGATTGCTCTCGACTACACAACTACATCGGACTACACCATCACTACAGGTTAGGGCTCGACGTTGTATCCTACATATACGCAAGATCTGTCCAAAACCATTACGATGGACTCCCATTTTCAGTTCCTTCACCCTCCTCGTTCTTCCCCCGCTGCTGCAAGTTCCTGAGTAATTTCGTGGGTCGCATTCGCGGGCAATGAACTGTGAATTGTTTTCAGCCTCTCTTATCTACACCTCTGGGCCCTTGAGACGTACCTTTGAGCTGGATCTACGGCTTGCAGTAAAGTGGGACCTTCCTGGCTACTTTCGTGAACCGCCTCCGCGGGTGTTAGACTGTGTATCGTCAGACTCTCTTCGGACCCCAGATCCAAAACGGACCTTTGAGC